TGGGGGAAAATCATCCAATGACTTCTCCCGCCCGGGTGAGGCGAGAGGGAGTGTCAGACTCTTACTGACTAAAAACCACCCCATTCCTACTCCTGCACTTCGAGCCGGAGCCCCGGTAACCCGTTAGGTTCTCCGCGACAACTATGTATGGTTCCGCGAGAGAATCGAACACGCGATACAAAGCACTGCAGTCCACTGTGCCTACTACTGTCAACTCTTTATTGAAAGTACTGTATAAAGCTCTCAATAAGCCAGTTATCGAATATTGAATTTTGTTTCATTAAATAAAATTAAAGTAGAGCCGTATTCGTGGAACAGCGCCTTTTGTGAAAAACGAACAATTTTTCAGTAAAAACAAATACCAGCCGTAATTTCCCACGAACGTTGAGTTTATTAAATATTTCTGTTGGCTACGTATTATTTAATTGAAAAAGGTTCAACTAAATGTAAATTTGATAAATTTCATTGACCATAGATATTTTATACTATTTTATTTACATTTTAGTATACATTTATTTGTCACCTCAAGGTTACGAATATTATTCCCAACTCAAAACAAACATAGCAACATTTCGGATATAAAATTAATTGTAAAAAAAATCTTTAATATTGTAGAAACTACTAACGGCCCCAATTCAATTAGATCTTTGTATTTTAAACTCGTGTAACATTAATAAAGTCAAAAATCAAAATCATTTATTTCAATTAGACTTTTGAATGTCAAAACAAAATATTAAAATATTAAAAAAATAATGTCAGTCTGTCGTTCAGCTATCTAGTGAAGCTATTTGCTCGTTCCTAAATGTAGATTCCTATGGAGAAGAACGGGCAAGATACTCCATAGGTTAATCTTTTTCAATTATGTTCACAATACAACATTCTTGATAAGTATGTAAAAATAAAATTATCTATGTCTACCTCCTTCGGACATAACATTTAGGACGTATAATAAAATAAAATTAAACGAGCCCTTTTACCCCACGACTGTACTTACTACATTGTGAAATCGTGATCATGAATTAACATTTTACGAGATAAACGCTTCATAAACAGTTTAACATTTTAAAAATTAATCTCAACTGTACCTCCATGCACTTAATAACAATTTTACTATCAAAACCAATCTTATTACGTTGTACTAAAGCTGATATTGCATCGTTTTACTTAATTTACGAGTCGAGACTTCCTGCTTTGTTAAATTCAACCTTGCAGAATGAAGATACAGTAGAAAATCCATTGTGCTGCGTGTTACGAAATATTTTCCTACTTATGTGGTTCATTATAATTATAGTGTTATTTGCATGATAATTGACTTAATGGCTATAGTGATTGGATTTTAAATTCCCTGCACTACCTCTGATAATGTTCACGTACCATAATAGGGTGCCTAGGTACTAGGTAATTGGTAGTGTACCTTGTTAAATTGATTTCAGAACTTAGGTTATTAACCTCTAACTTGTTATAAAAGGTCATTTATTCCGTACTTAATACAACATGTCTATAAGTGGTGGACTTGTGGATCTTAGACTATTTGATGTATGTAGGTGACGTGAAACAACGCTTGCGTTGTGTTTCGTCATGTGAGTGAGGTTACCGGAGGCCCAATTACCCCTCCCCAGTCTCCCCAATCCCCAAACCCTCTACAATCCTCAAATTCCCAATTCCCAAAACGTTTCCCAGGTGTCTATGGGCCACGCCGATTACTTACTTTCAGGTGATCCGTCCGCTCGTTTACCGGCTTATGTCATAAAAAATATTAGTAATTAATTATTCCTTGTATGTACACTATAAACATATTTTTAACTATTTGAGTAAAACTGTAAAGGGTCCCTGAAACTGTAAATTTGAAAAAGACGCACTTATTTCCAAGAAAACAGTTATAAAAATGTACCTACACAATGCAATTCTAATAATTTTTCAACAAACAACGACAAATTGAATCCAATAACATCTTTTACCTTGCAACCGAACAAGCGAGGACTCCCCAACAAGACAATTAACATAATACTAAAGTACAACTTACTAATAAACCTATCAAAGACCACACACTTTCAAAAGCCTAACTAAAAACTAAGAAAGCATACTTTGAAAAGCTGTCACCATAAAAATATGGCGCCAAGTCAACCCGTGACAAATGCAATGACAACAGTGTAATTGTCGACCAGTTTGCAAGAGATAAACATGGACGCTCATGTAATATTTATCTGGTAGATCATCGGAAAACTGGAGACGAGGATATCTATGCAATTCTTGAGGTAAAGGGTTGGGAATGTGACGAGCGACGTGAAATTGGAAGCGGTTGGTTATGGAAAGGTTAACGTGGAATATCACCGTTGTGTTTCAAATGATGATGGTATTTTTGTTATGGGACATCGTCTCCTCGTATACCTAGGTATACGAGGAGATCAGTCGCCTGATATTAAGTGCCCAGCGCCACATAGCTAATGTAATTATTACCAACCCACCAATTTTTAATTTTCACTCTCCATATTTTTTTTTACTCTCTCCCACCAATTTTACTTTTTGCCGTGCCCGACAGGGTTCTCAATTGTTACTATTGTATTTTCTAACCACCTGTATATTTACATTACGGATGCAATAAATACTTGATTGATTATTACGGACATCCGCAATACTAGTTGAGTTACAAAAGCATAGTCGATGTTTATAAAGGAGTCCGTTTTTTATTTAAGGCTGTATTGATAAAAAATGTTAACAAAAGACTTAATTTTCCTTAAGAGAAGAAGGCAGAGGAGAAGTGAAGCAAATTTATTAAAAAGCTGACTTCAAAAAATGATATCTAAAATTAAAAAAGTGTGTCTTCCCAACACTACAACTGTTTCCCGTTTTGTCACAAAGTTGTTCAATAGCTCCATGTATTATTCATTCCCAAAGACTCCCGAAGACAGCCGATGTGTCCAAGAACATGTCCACTACACTCGTATAATATTGTATCTGAAGAGCCTTACAAAATAATGACCATCTATAATTTTTCCTAGCAGAAAGAGCAATCGCTTACATTCCTCTCCTAACTGCTAATTTAACTTTGTCTTTCAAAGATGTGCGATAATAAAGTTTACTGTTTACATCATAGTTTCATAGTGCCATATAAAAAGTATTTATTTTAAGTGACAATTTAACATAAACCAAGTAAAACCGTCCGTCATAAAGGAAAATTTACCTTTAAATATGGAACAGCAATTCTGTAAACAATTTATTTGTTACGTATCTTTAGTTATTTGAATCTGTAGACCATCATGGCAACAGTTTCCTACTACAAAATAACAATATGTCGGTCTGTCGGGCTGGTTGGCCGCGATCCTTTTTCTTCTCGTCGAAGGCGACGCAACGCACAATGCGTTCCCACAACGCTGCCATTTGCAATTTAAATTCTCGCAAATAAAACCGTTTCGAACATTTAATACAAAGCTCGTTACCGTTGTTCCTGCTTTCAACTGTTCACATTGTTTCAAGGATGATGGATGTTGATGACCTAGCTCTAGTTTATAAATATGTAGACACTAAGACATAGAAATATGATTGGGTACACTCTTTCTAACACAACGGACTTCCTCAGTTAATTCCAGTATTTTGTAAGAGAAAATTAAAGCATTTATTGTAAACACACGATGAACAAACTCGTTTGAACAGTCAAAACAGAGCCATTCACGTCTACCAGTAAGTTACTGAAGTTGTATACTCATGCCAAATGTTTCCATTACTGAGGATAAGGGATATTGAGTGAGAAAGTCATTTATAAAATTACTATCAAACTGCGACGTTTTAAATGATCTAACCAACACTATTATAAATGTAAATAATACAATATTATATAATTGCAAGCTGCTACTACTTCAGAAAAGCATAAATCACAGCAGACTTTGATCACACGAGCACGAACAAAAATATCAAGAGATGAAAGCGTCACAATTACCTAAATATCAATAATCCAATGAGTAGTCAATAAATCTAGCTAATCTGAGCGGGTGACTAAACGCTAGGCCAGCCAACTGGGTGCCCCCTCGATTACCTACGTCCATATATCTTAGGTTGGATGTTCGCCAGACCAAGTCCGATACCATTGCATCGTTACATGCACTATTTGTGTAAATTAGTCTGTGATTTACAACCTGCATTATTTTTCTTTGTTGTCCTAGTGTGGATAGACTAACTGTCTAGCTATGGACGTCCGTTTTTTCCTTTTCCCAAAGCGAAACGTTCAGACGAGTTAGGATTTTAATTGAGTTTGAGCCTGTCCGTCTGTGTGCAGTTTTGTTAGTTTTTGTACAAAGGTTTCGAATAGTCCGCTTTCACTGAAATCCTCTTGTTATTTCACTATCAAACGTGCTTTTGGATTAAGTAGCTTTTGTAATTGTAGCTTTGTGAAAAAGTTTTAATTTTTGTTATTTATAAATCCTCGAAATAGGTGCCAGGGATCTGGGATAGGCTTTATTTCAGAAACATCACTTTAGACACATGAATCATATTTACTTCACATTAATCTAGCAAGCTTAGATGAAACGTATTTCGTCATAAATCATTACTTTTATTTTGTTTTGCAAAAAGTCCCTGCTTCGATGTTTGTATGTCAAAGTGATAGGGTGTAAAGACCAACACGGGCGAATATTAAATTAATCACCTGGTCCTGGATTCGCGTGTAAACAGTGGCGGTTGGAGGCGGGGCCGCGTGGCGGGGCTCGCGTCAGGACCTCATTTGTCAATCAGTGTCGTCATGAGTAATGGTCGGCTCCAAATTGGACAGTTATCTGTCGTAATCGATATCCAGGAACGATTTATTTTTCGAGAGCTCTGTTTGTAGAATTTTCTGTCGTGTTTGCACTGTGAAGTGAGGTTTATTGCCAAATATTAAGTGTGTCACTGGGAAACCCTTTTGAGTGATAAAATAATAAATGTAGTGTCAAAATAACTAATAGGTTTAACACTTCTTGCAATATGTAAAAACCTCTCCTATGCTAAATATTTTTCTAGCGTATTAAATGATGTTACGTACATCTCCCTTTCCTAATGAGCCACTTGTGATTAAAACTCATACTATAGGTTGGTAGGCACATAACGTGAGGTTCTCAAAATCCTGTACATCAGTTCCTGCAGGTACTCAGCTCACAATAACCCTATTATTACGATGTTACTACGTAGTACAGCAACGGAACAGAAGGTTGATAAATACAGTGGCTGAAGGATTAACAAATGTCCTTTCCAAAACAAAGTAAACCAACTCGGTCGCGATCTTTAGATTTCAATCGGTAATAGAAAACATTCATCAATTTACCTAATTACTTAATAAATTTTGGACCTTATTAAAAAGTCGAGACTATTAAGTTTAATCATTTTCAAATCAGTGCCCTGCTACTGTGTCCCTGTCCAGTTACACGAAAATCTGATAGCATAGTGATTTATTGGGATTGTCGAAGTTTAGAGACAAGATTAATCACAGCATTACAAAAATAGTTTGCAAAGTTTCAGCTCACCTTACACAATTCGTGATTGGAACTTCTGCGCACAAATTTAGCTGCGGACAGACATATGACAGGGGTGTACCACCTCCGAGTTATCAAGCCCATATGTCTATGAGCCGGGATTAATCAAATTAATAAAGTCGTTATCTCGAGTGTCGCAATTTGCCACCCCTGTGCGACTTAATTCTGTTACTAAAGTTCAGTTTAGACACTTTTAGCGCTGATGGGAACGTATAAATTGTATTAATATGTGCTGAGCGAATCTGACGCTTAAATTAAGTGATCATTGAAGCGTTTTGCCTAATTGATCGTTATTACGTATTAGGTGTTCGATGGAGGGAGTTTGAACTCTATTTCGAAGGCTTTAAAGTTGAGAGTAGGATGATAGCTAGTCGGTTTTAAATTCAGGAGGACCGAAAAAATTCGTTAAAATAAGTTAAGTACATATTTGCTCAAAATTAGTCGACAAGAAAGTAATAGGTAAAAATGTAAAATAAATAATGATTCTGATTCCTGATTTACATTAAAGACTTTCATATAAGTCCTATTGAAGACCATTCAATGCTTTCACTACAACTTACAAAGATATTCGGCCTCATATTTTCACGGACTTCAACCATACAAAAATATGAAACACTAGTCATACAGTAGTTGATGAAAGCCCAGTTTACCGTCCATTAGCTGTGATCGTTAGTGTGTGACAAAAGAATGAGTAGAGCGGGCGGGTCCGCGTGATTTATGTAGTCTAATCGTGACTCGTGACGTCACTATACACAGTACTTAGGTAAATAGTGGCGGTGACATGAAGACTTAATGTTTTGGAAAGGGTATTTCCAATCATTACAATATTAGAACCCTTTACTATAGTAAAGGTTATAGAAGAAGGAAACTTTGTGATTTGTTAGATTTATTTATGGTTGGTTGTAGCTTACTTTTTTATGGGATAAATTGGTGTACGAACACGGATCACTTGGTAGTAAGCAATCGTCTTCGCCTATGGACACCTGGAACACCAGAGGCGTTACCAGCCTTTTGTGGATTAGGAGTTTGAGGATTGTTGGGGATTCAAGGATTGGGGAGATTGGGGAAACTCCGGTAACCTCACTCACACAACGAAACACAACACAAGCTATGTTTCACGTCGGTTTTCTCTGAGACCGTAGTATCACTCTGTTCGAGCCGGCCCATTCGTGCCCAAGCATGGCCCTTCCACACGTACTTGTTGTTTTTATGAATATATTGATATCTAGGTGAGTATTATGTTTACACATAGAAACTTTGAACTTGAATTTATACCGTTTACAGTAGTATTTATCTAAGCTTGTCCACAACAAGAAAACATAAAGAAACAACTTAAAACAAACAGTAGTATATTAAGCAGATTAGTTCAACAAAAACAGTAGCCCTATATCTAACATTCAACATAGTGAGAAAACTAAACTGACCCAGCTGTCTACCGCCTTACAATCAAGTAAAAGTGCTATAAATTAACACAAGGAAATAGATTATTGTGCTGGCTACCCAAGTTGTACCATTTATCACTGTTTTAACTAATAAATTATGCACAAACTAATTCAAGCGGTTATCGCGAACAGACCTTTAGCTTGAAACTATTTAAGAAACCCTTAGCCTATGTAGACATTTAGATGGAAACTAAATTAAACTAGGACTATCATTACAATACAATCCTGGATTTGATTTTAAACTGTAAATGCTGGGACACAGTTGGTTTCTATATAAACCAATTCAGCTAACAAGCATCACGATTCTCTAGAAGAAGAAAACGACGAGAAAGAGTTAAAAAGTAAGTATTTATCATTCAAAAGCATCACGTCTCAACTACAGAATGACAGCATTAACAACATTACCGCTACCCAAGTAAAATAAATCGGAACAATATCGTCAGAGGTACAGTTAGCACCTCGTCAGCATTTCTTTTACATTTCTCCTTTATTCTGCATCACGCGCGTCCGTATTGTCGCGAAAGTAGCGTCGGATACGGCCGCTCACGTCCGGCATCCGGTCACGTGCCCCCGTGTCCGGCCGACGACGGCCAATCAGTCGGCTCCCTAATTAATTTACTTTGAACGCTTCTTATTGGCCGGTACGTGCTCCAATCAAGACGCGAACCACTTCACGATTAGTTTCAACCGGTGCTCCGTTTTCTCCTCGCTTTAATTTCCGTTGATCGGAAAAACTGATCCGCTTGTTTTTTTATTCCTTTGAAGTTCCTACTTTGTTAGTACTGCACTTTTTACGGTGGAGTTTGTTTAATTCCAGTAGATGTTGCGATAGTAAAGACTACTTGTTTAACAACTGTGTTAGCTAGTAGTCTTACATATTCATTTGCGATACTTCTATTGTCTCCCAGTGAAACAACAGAGAAATTAGTTTAACTAAACGATGATTGACATAAAGCTCGTTAACATTTTGTACGATGACAATAGTGTGCCTAAACAAGCAATATTGTGGCTTGTGTTAAGTATTCTAATGCCTATAATCCCTCGGATCGTTGCGGCAGATTCTTGGCACGCGGCGTATCCAGGTCGTTGCGATTATGCCTTAGACGTAGGTCTATGACGATTACCACCAGTGGCGGCGCCTATATCCAGGATCTTTTGGGAACGTTCCTAGAACAATCGGAGCTGATGCCAGGATCTGCAGATTTATATTATGTCCGGAGCTATTTTAAATTAGAAAGTACGGGAACTGATTTCTTGGTATCAGAATTAAAATGTTTGTTTAAATATTAGAACTAATATTATATCTTTTGTGACGAATTTCCCAGAAGACAATGTATAAAAGGACAAAATACACGTTAACAAGTACAACAAAAAATATTAAAACATACGCAAAAGACATAACAGCCATTAATGCCATTACAAAAGTGATCGTAAGTCTGCGCGTGCGCCGCCCTTCCACATAAAGCTGTCAGCGGTCGATCTGTGGTTTGCTATTACGGTTAACAGATGGCGCTGTTAGAAAAATACCCAGCTTCCCTTTGTAGTGGGATGGGAACGATGATGTGTATGTCAACATATGACAAGATGATGACACGTATTATAAATCTCATTATTTGTCTGTGTGTGTTCTTTTATGTATAGTTGTCTTGGAGGGTTGCTAACGAACACAAGTAAATTATATTTATTTATTTGTCAATCATTGTACTATTATAATTTATATGTACTCTATATAGTGGTGCAGTACAAGACATGAAATTCTATATGGCATAATCATAGTTTTATGGGCGTCTCAGTTAATGCTCATATGTATTCCAAGACTGTATACCCTCCAAGATTAACCTCCACAAATCCTTAAAAACCCATCCGTAACTATCTAACCACAAATAAGAACGATAAATATTTCTAAACTCAAATGAATGTTGCTAGCTAATAATTAATCGCAATACATTTACCTCCTTGGATTCGCCGCGGTCGGTTAATGGTGTCATTCGTCACGGGGCTAATGCCTGAGCACTAGTCCTGAGGTCCAAGGTATTACGGGCACACAGACAGATAGACACAGATGTAGATATTGTGATGCATTTGTCTAGGACTAGTAATGCAGGAGCTAGCGAGTGTAGGCAAAAAATGCAAGGGTTTTAATGAGCTGATTAGTAGAAGGTTTGTTGGAAGTAAAAAGACATTTGTAAAAATATTTGCTTGATGCAACTTGTAGTGTAACTTTCTTGAGACCTAATAAATCTATATATACCTATAAAAGAAAGTCGTGTTAGTTACACCACTTATAACTCAAGCACGGCAGAATAGATTTGGCTGAAAATTGGTAGGGAGGTAGCTTAGAGCCAGGAAACCGACATATGATACTTTTTAACCAATACTTTTTTTACTTTTTACCGAAAATGGCAAACGGGGATGGGAAAAAATGGGATTACGCGTACGAAGTTGCGGGCAGAAGCAAGTTACTAATAAATTATTATTATGTTTTCGGCTTACTCACGTAGTTATTTGAGGCGACTGTAGCGGTGCTACAGGCCTCTAGCATGGCTTGAAACTAGTCGAGTTCCTCGTCAAATAATTACGTGAGCAAGCCAAAAACATAATAATTAATTTGGATGGAACTTGTTGATATTTTTCATATAAGAAAACTGAAAAAATAATGAACATTACCTTATTACGTCTTACTATTAACACGTTAAACGCCATGGAGGTCACAGGTAACCAACGTTAGCGGAGGATTTACCTTCAACAGTTTCTTATTGGCAATCAAAGGCTTAAAATAAAATAGCCTTCTAAATTCAAAATGATTTTCTGTCGTTGCCCTACGTTTTATTCTATTCGTTTCAATGCAAACGATCTGTAGGTACCTTTTGTTTCAGTAAGGATTCTCAATAAGTTCATTGCCTAACCAAGTATCTTCTTGTCCACAGAATGTAACTGCAACGGGCACGCGCGTCGCTGCCGGTTCAACATGGAGCTGTACAAGCTGTCGGGCAGGGCATCCGGGGGCGTGTGCCTCAAGTGTAGGCACTACACAGCAGGCAGACACTGCCACTACTGCCGCGAGGGATATTACAGGGACCCCACCAAGCCTATCACTCATAAGAAAGCTTGCAAACGTAAGTATACATAATATTAGTCATTCTCTGCAATGTGTATGGCTTCTCGTGAGAATTCTTCATATTTTTTCATGGACATGACACATCCATGTTCATTTTTCATAATGTATTTTAGTTTAATGCTCATAACTTTCCATTATAAAATGTTTAAAACGAAAAACAGTAGCTTCCTTGTATAGAAAATATTTAATTTTGATTCGTCCACAAAATAGTTGATCAGTGCTTAAATTTCAAAAAAAATAGAGCTTGTTTTTTAGAGAAAGTTTCTCTCTAGTTAAGCGAATTTTGCTGGAAGATTTTAGCATAGCTAAGTAATTTTAGGCATTCAAGATGTTAGTGTCTTTTCTTTCAACCGGTAGAGCATGAAATTATATTTCTAACAACTTGTTTCTCTTAGGGGTAGAAAAAATATAATGAATTTTGCATGTGCATAACAATACTAAAGGATAAGATAGATATAGTATTTTGTCTTATCGGACTCTTTAAGCACGTGCTGATATTGATCATGAGAACTTTGTTGCTCTCATTGATTACCTTAGGTTTTGCATGGCTAGCGAAAATTTAATCTGAGTAATGAATAACTATATCATCTTTGTTTACATCGTAAGAGATCATATTGATCAAGATTTTAAAAAGGATATAAAGGCAAAGCATCTTAAAAGAAAAGGTATTCCATCCTTGTTTTATCTACCCGATATGAATGGCTATTATATACTTTTGAATTCGTTAGATAACTTAATTTATCCCAGAACCAACAAAACTAATAATTGACGAAACATTAATGCAGGTACAAATGCGCATTTTTACCTATTAAACACCTTTGCTTACTATTTCCGTGAAAGCAAGCCAGATAAACAGATTGATACATAAAAAGCATCATAACTTTTTATACCCACGTTACCCGACTTTACCAACAAACAAGCTACAAAATAAGTTCAGTTGAAAAGCTTACAATAACATTTAGCCGTGGTTTAACTGTAACGCATTACATTTAATGTTAAACCGTAATATTTTAAGCTCTAAAGATAAGTATAAATTAAACTGACGATAACCGTTTACACCTGTCCACGGACAGACAAACAGACAGATATAATCTAACTATCTACGTTCAAATAGACACGGTCGTTATACAAATACGAATAGTCGGGTTTAGTTAAACGGAGCTTAACGTTATATTTGTAAAATGCCGCATCAATTCGAGATTATCACTTTTTTATATTCCTTGTGTTTACTTTCGTGTTACGTTTTTTAATGATATAGTTTGTGCTATCGCTGTTTGTTGGACTAATATTCGTAAAGAATATTATTAAACTTTGTAAGTACACAAATTCGTACAATCACTCATGAGAACTAAAATTCGATTATTATTTCCTGCAAAGAATTTCATATTATGTTGTTGTTATGTTTACTTTTTGTTTGCCATGAATGTTTTTCTTATAAAGTACGATTACATCCCCAGTTAGTTTTTCTTTGGGATTTCGCTAAGTTGGAAAAGGGATCCCGAATTTGTATTATCTCCACCTTCATCTTCAAAACTATTTACCGAGTGGCACCCAATATCAACTACACAAACATTTAACCCTATCCAACGTTAGCCATTCGGATCCCAAGAAATCGAAATAGCAAAACAAAAAGGCGTGACGTCGTAAAACCGTAAAGTAAATGCGTGCCGGTCTCTTCGACCCCGTGGTCGCGGATACAATAGTTTTCTCATAAAATTGGCCGAAAATCGAGTTGGTCCTTCGAGTCTTTCGGGTCCAATTGGTCCTTGGGGGCGCTTCAGTTTTATTTGACGGCCGTGGTAGGTTTTTCGCTGATTGAGTCAAGATTGGGGTATGGAAATGGGTATCTTAAGTACTGTTGTTACGTCAGCTAGTTGGAATCGACTTGTTAAGTCGACGGGGAAGAACGAAATGGTCGGTTGGGTTAATTTTAGTGGAAGTGAACTGAAGTAAAGTTACAGGTTGTGGTTGTTTTCTAGTGATTTAATACACAAACGTATTTCCGTTTACTATATTAAAAAATACGTGTATAAGACGTTTAAATAGTTGTAAGCACAGTGAGAAATAGAGATTTATATATTTTTGCGGCGAAAATCAAATGACAATGTTCTCAAGTACCTAAAACCAATCAAAAGAACAACCATCATTCCACTTCCCATCCCAGCAAATCAAACAATATTCTCAAGACGTTGCTCCCGAAACCTTTCTCAGTTCTTAGAATACAAATATTGGATCGTACAACCGATACAATTGCCAACATTATTTCCGATCGCAATTCCCTGTCATACACCCGGAGTACCCGGATCACCCGGACCGCTATAAAATGGACGCGAGGTCAACGCACAATTCGACACTTTCCCAGTTTTTCCCTCAACCAAACGCATCCGGATAATTGAGTTCAGAATTCTACGACACACCCGGGAGATTCCGATTATCGAATGAAATCAACTATATCGATTTATACTCGATAACAAATCATAACGCACAATAAAACGAATTCTGTTTCGAATAGTTTCGATCATCGATTGTGATTTAAGGGACCCGCAATTTTACGAAATGAAATGAAAATAACTCTATTTTGTTTGTAGGAAAATTGAATATTATGGAACAAGTTGCTGTTCACAAACTAGCTAAGTGCTTAGATATCAAGAAAAATAATTATTACTTAACACTTTACGATTAATTAAGATCTTGTTAAGACCTTTATTACCTAGGAAATAGTGTTAGGATTGCGATAGTTACTGATTAAAGCGCCATTAAAATAAAAGTACTTCATGTTGTGGGCCACTGCTATAAAGTAAGTAGTTGCTGGGCAAATAGAACGTGATTGTGTGAAATAGCGCTTTATACTTGGCTTTTATTTCTAGTGTTCCCTTGATTGCGACGTAATGTACCCACTGTGAACTAAATTGCAATGAAAGGACCAATTATGTTAAGAGTTTTCTTATGTATGTACTTACGTATTGTCAGAATAATGTATGTTTAGTTTTAAGTAATATTTTATTAACCATTTGTCTAAAATTACTCGACTTAAATACACGTCACAGATGTCACACACCTCTTGATTAAGCCAGTTCCTATCACATACAGATGCGCAAATATTAGTCCAAAAGTCCAACTAACTTCCAACTACGAGCTACGAAGTAATAGGAACAGCTAGTAAATACACTCGAACTAATTTACTTGGTAAACAACGCGAACTGGCGGCCAACACAACTGTGTTAAGAACTTAAGACTTCGTTATTTCCCGACAACAGACTTACTTTGAGAAAAAATGTAATAATAAAGAAAGGAATGAAGTTTTCCTTTTCTTAGTTTGTGAACCACATCCTCGAGATAGTAGTTCGGCCAGTGACGTTATCGCATTATATTTTTTCTTCCTCGTTTCGGAATGGGACGTGGGGTAATAGTCGCTTGTGTTTTTCTATGAGACTTAAACAGCATAATTATTGCATTGAATTGTATAAATATTACATTTAATCTTTCCTGTATTTTTCTAAAATCTTCTATACAAATAATTGAATTCTGCAGAGCGTACGGCTAATTAATATCGACACTCATCTTTAGTTTCGATTGCTACATGATCATGATCCAAACGAAATTAGCGTTCCACTTGCAGTTGGTACTGATTTAACGTATATTTGGGCAGGAATTCTCTATCTCCATAGTATTACTTTGGCTACTAGAACAGAAAGTCAATACGAGTCCCTTCCCTCGATGGTCGGAGACTGTTCCGAATGCAAAACTTGAAATTCAATTATAGATCTCTCTAGTACTGCCGATAGTCTACTCTAGTACTGTATATGTACTAGATACTCTAGTACTGTAGATAGTCGCACTGCCGATTGAACTGGCCACGAAAAAATTCAATCGACGCGACACGTTTGAAACAGGGCCTGACGTAGTTCCTTGACAAGAAAATAAAAACTTATTTATAAAATGTCTTTGTCCCCATGGTGAAATAACATATTTATAAATTTAAATATGTCTAATTATTTTCAGTCTATTTATCATTATCATAACTTGATTTGATGCCTTAAAATTCAGTAGCCATTTGAAGCCTAGGTGCGGAGAGACATGCAAATTAGACGTGATTTTCCATTTAAGCATAATATTATAAGTACGTCTTGTTGGTAAAATGTTTATTTGTTTTTTTTTTCATCAGCCTGCGACTGCCACCCAGTGGGAGCGAGTGGTAAGACCTGCAACCAGACGAGCGGACAGTGTCCCTGCAAGGATGGAGTCACCGGCACTACCTGCAACCGCTGCGCCAAAGGATACCAGCAGTCACGCAGCCACATCGCTCCTTGTATACGTAAGATTTTCAACACCTAGAAAATTTTGAAATATTAAAAGCTGCGTAATTTTGTTTCACTTAAAAATCAACTTTAGTTAAGGTATTGGGGTCGAGATTCCACAAATACACACGTCACTCACACCAAAATATTTTAGGGACGGACATCTGATAATTTTTCGGTGTTACTTTCCTGATCTTTTTTTAGAATCTAATATTGACTGAGGAAGGTTGGATTTAAAATATTTCATAAAATAAAACCAAGTTCGGATACTTAAATCCTCAAACCAGCTTAGCTTCAATTACCTCAATCCATTATGCATGAGGATCGATACATTCGCGCTATCCTTGGTGAGGTGTGAACCTAGGAACGTCCAGGGTTCGCACCTGGCCTCTCTCCCACGCATTAAAAGTCACTTAAAGGCAAGCTATCGGGATTGTAAGCACTAAACAGCCTAACCATTACTTTACAACAGTCGTAACTGGGAATAGGTACCCTATCCATGAAGCTATAATAAACCAATTTACCGTGGTCTCTTCTTGTATGATCTTTCTGCACATCTGACGGTCAGTTTATACTGGTTTGTGTAGGTGTACGTGTGTACATGTGGGACTTTGTAATGCCGACACATTGTAACAAGTCGTCGGATTGTTGAACTGTTCGTGTAATGGAGTCGAATACTTGTTACTTGCTGCGCTTTTGTTGTTGGTTAGAACTTTGATTGTAGTTTGGTGCTGTATTTAAGAGAGCATTTTACTAGTTTACTCTAGTTACAGAACATATACAGAGTTGCCTATCAGATGAATACTATAGGCAAATGAAAAAAAAATGTGAATGTATTTGTCAGGATCAAAACCAAGCACTTTTGAATCCATCAATCAGTCCAAAGTAAATCTAATAACGCGTTCTTAAGCGTTAGTTCGTACCGATGGCGATCTGATAGATCTGGCAAAAAACTAAGTACCTACTTCTTTTAAAATGAAAACATATTCGTATCTAATCAGAAGTATTCTTTCTTCTTCTTCCCATGTTCTTACTATACTTGAGACGTTGTTCCCCAGGCATCCCTCGCGTGGTAACAGCAGTGCAGGCGATGGAGGCGGTGGACGGTGACCCGGGCCGCGGTAAGTAGTAAGTGTACCTTCATGCACTCTCGCCTCACACACACTTGCATGACCACAGACACTCAATCGCCAGACAACAAAATATCGTATAAATATTGCAAGTTTGAAATAAGTAAATTATATTAAACTTCGTATTGAAGGACCAAAAAGCACCAGGAATGATTTTATTTTGTTCCTTATTATGTTATTAATACGGTTAGATATACACATTTATTTTCAACAGGAATTGGGATTGAATGTCTGTGATACTAGAGATGGAGCTTATTGTACTTTCTATAAAAAGTAAACTGTGTGGTCCTTTTACATCGAGCAAAACACAATGTTTTGAAAGTCACTGCAATAAAATACCATAATTTTCTCATGTGCAATTATTTTACTTTGTACAATAATTGGGACATTATAACTGACAATCGTCATTGTATTGACTTTTGAATTGCAACTCCATCTTTATTAATTATTTGAACAATGATCCAAGCTTATGATTGTTGTTTTGAAAATAACTGCAATTATTAAATTACTGTATATAAAGAACTGTTTACTGTTAAACCTTTGACATCCAATAAAAACCTGTTGAAAACATCAATTCCCCTGCTAACGTCGGTCACCGGAGACCACCATGGCGTTTGACGTGTTGAGAATAATTTGTATAATTTTAAATCAATATTAAATATTAATGTTATTTTTAAACATTATGAATAATAATAGTGTTATAATCTTATTACCTACTGCAATTTATGATTTAACGTGGTCGTTAAGGAGTTACAAGGTTGTTCCTAAATAATACATTGAGAAAACTTGGATGTGTGATGATCATAACGTGAACTATTTTCTATTTCTAGATTTTAAATGTCAAAAAGTACAATATCGCTCCACTTTATTATTAATTTGCACTTTAATTTTATTTATATCTTACTGCCTTTTGATAAGTAACTTACTTAGTTGCAAGGAGACGAATAAATAAATACTGAGAGTGCTTTACGAGCTGACAATTGATACCAGACTAATAAATTGCCTCGTACGCTAATTGATTGAATTACTTTGCAACATTAGCTTGTAAAAGTAATCGAAAGGCAGTAAGTTATTACTGATTCTCCATTCTCACACCACATGACTAATTTCATATGAAAATTTGATTTCTACCAGTAATTCAGTAATGATATAAGTAACACTATTTTACCTAATGGCAATTTGAATACCTAATAATTTACACTGACCATTTCTCGTCCGGAAATATTTTAAACAATCTACAAAGAAAGTTTGGACGAAAGGACCAATTTTCTATCACTTTGTCATACTTTATGGTCAGACTTTCAAGTTCTTCTTGTACTTAACGTATCAGTAGTGTGGGAATGTCTATGTGTCGTATTGTGAATCTTACAATATTCATTTCAAGCTTATTCCGTGTCATTCACTGTCAAACTCATAATACTTTTTGTTTTATTTTGTCAGTGCCGACTGAGAGGTAAAACTTTCAAATTAACATTATTTTTAACAACTAACTATCTGTAATTATACATCAAACAATTTCTTTATTAATTATTAACTCTGATAAACTCCATTTTCATTTGTAAATAACGTAACATTTTAAGAGAATTTAAAATTGTTTACAATATAGAAGAAACTAATTTGTTTTATTGAGTCTTAGACAAAGTTAATTATATTGATGAGAAAATAAGTAAATCTATAGACTGATAATTATGTATAAATGATGATAAACTGACGATGATGTGTATATGCAGCAACGGAGCAGTGCGGCCGGTGTCGCGCCGCCGCTCGCACGCTAAATCTCAACAAGTTCTGCAGCCGAGACTACGGTAAGTGCCTCTACAAACGCCCTTTGTTAATAACTTTACTATTCTTTAACTTTTATGATCTTGACAAAATATTCTTCTAATAAGAACTGCCTTTTAAAGAATCTGTTTTCAACTTCGATAAACGATTCTAATAACCGTATTTATGCAGTAGCAGTAACAGCTTCGTGTGCTAGTGCCGTAATCGTATCCCGTTCCTGGGGTATAAGTCCTTTACGGGTTTCCTCATACATATTCATTGAGGGTCTTGTTAAAATTCTCAAAATTATCTCCAATCAAAACAAATGTGATTAGAAAGATAATTGCTTGTCCAATACAGTACGTTCTTAAGACCCACTTTCACTTAAAAAACGTTGAATAAAATATGTAATTATCGTCTTTTAACTGCTTTCCATCACATAGCAGGTAATTAAACTCTCTCTTGTGGTGCATGTCGACCCTGTGTTGGTTGGCCCGAGTTCCATCAAGTCTTTCATCAGTACTAGCTGTTTCATTATCTGTTTTCTTCACAAACCAGTAAGCAAACTTGGAGAAAGTCCTAAGCTTTTAAGCAATCTCGATCTCTGACTTGGCAGAATTACTTCATTACATTTTCATAAAAGTAAGATTCAATATCTTAGGTACAAGGTTTTTCAGCCATCTTTTGATGAACATATTCTTTGGTACGGGAAATATTTTGAAATTATGCCTATAAGATTGATAGGTTGTATGTTTCTGTGTACAGTCATAATGGGCAAGGTGGTGGGTCGCGAGGCGAGCGCGGCGGGCGACCAGTGGGTGCGGCTGGCGCTGAGCGTGCAGGCAGTGTACAAGCGCGCGCCGCGCAGTCGTCTGCGCCGCGGCGCCACCGCCCTGCACGTGCGCGCCGCGGACCTCGCCTGCAAGTGCCCTAAGATCAAGATCAACAAGTAAGTCTTAGTAGAGATGCCATAAAAAAGAAGAATTTAACTCGTCGAGTACCGGTTTTACAGACACAATTAAAGAACAATAGGTCGCGGTCACCGGTGACCGCTTGGTATTTGACAGTTTAATCCAGAATTCTTTATTTGGGTCTGATCAAATAAAAGATGATTACTGAAGATTACTTATTAAATGCTGTTTTTTTTTCTGTTAGGTCATACCTAATCCTAGGAGTGGAAAAAGAGGGCGTGTCAGCCGGTTTTCCAGGGCTGACGGTCGGCGAGAGGACACTACTGCTGGAGTGGCGCGACGACTGGCACCGACGCATCCGCCGGCTTCAACGGCGCGCGATCAACTGCCATTAGCGGACCGCCATCTTGGAATAGTGGGGATAAAGCAACCAATGAGAGCAAGTTCTCGTCGTAATCCGTCGTTGCAAACATACGTGAATTGATAAACGTAGTTGTTTTAACTGTTACTGCCATATACGTGCTGTCTATATAAATTCATAACAATAATATTGTCTCAGGAATTAACGTTGATATATCATAAGACTGATTGTAATCACTCTTCGACGCATCTTCGTGTAATTGAAAGGTGTTCTAGATACATAGTTTTATGTCAATTCCCAACGTTGTGTCGATAACCACATGCTTAAATACTTATAATACCTAAAATATATAGTTCTTAAAAGCAAGTGTTAGATTGAATGTTTTCGCAGTGAAGTTATTCCTCTAAATAAATTGTAAGTCTGTGTGGGTAATGCAAATAGTGAACATATCGAAAATACCTAATTTTTGTGACTGCAAATCATAGGCCTAACTGTAAGCTTTATAACCTCAGAAATATAATCAAAGCTTTATATGCAAGTCTTTGTAGTAGACTTTTGTCGTTCAATTTACCAATTTTCTATATAAATATTTAAACAAAAACTTGTCCATTTGATTCAACATTAATTCCTGAGGCGCGCAAACGTTTACCTAGTCCGATTTAGGAATAACGTTAATAATAATAACGATAACTGTAGTTCCACTGTTATTTACGACAAGTTTTTATGCCAAAAATGCAAGAGACATTGGTTGGGGCACGCTAAAACTTGGTCCTTTGGGTCGCAACCTAACCTCTCCCTAAATGTAAAATTAACTTTACAATCTAACCCTGTGCAAAATAAAATAAAGTCCATTATAAGCGTGTCTCCACATTAATCATAAAACTAAAACATTAAAATTTTTCCCATCCTAGGATTTCGTTAAAAATTGTACATTAGGTATATTATTATTATTATTATTTATTTTGAATAGTTTAATTTTATAAGGCAAAACGTAATTGTATCGTTCCATTTCTTGCATTTTTTGTATAATTGTTATATTATATTGAAAATGCTAATGTTGATATTGTTTTATGTGCTGTGGCTGCATGGCGTCTCGGTGTCTGTCAAACTCGCAAATAATAAATAAAAAAAATATATTCTACCCGGGCATAATAAATTAGGTACTTGGATGTATATCAAGCTATAAAACCGACTCACAAAATAACGTTGTATGTAACGACATGTCATTTCTGCGTGACATGACATGTCAGTTTGACAGATGACGTGAGTTGTGCGCGATTGTACACGTTAGTTGTAGGACACATTCGGAGATGAATCACCACATAGTCACAATGGTTTAACGTACCTCATTTATATTATAAAACTTATCACTAAGGTTAAGTGTTTAATTTATATCGTTAGCGCTTAGATTTTATACACTTTAAGCTAAAAATATCAATCTCTCTACCTATGTGTTCGTATTTTTCTCTTTTCTTTTTTTCTGTAAATTAAATGATTTAAATATTAGATCTTGCCAAAGTAACATTTTTATTTTGTATAGAGTACTTAGTTTCCTCTGTGTAATGTCTTCGCTGTTGAGGGCATAACTTGAACAAATGCGTCGCCTAACTAAGGTATGTACAGTATTACTAGCTTTACTAAGGAAATAATAATAAGCAACCTTATTTTTGAAAAAGTACAATCAACGACAACCTTAAAATAAAAATTATTCGGTCACTTTTAATGTCTATACAAAAATACAATAATCATAATTTATTTCTTTTCCCATTGAGGCTCAACAAAAACCGTACAATCACACAACAAAAGCCATTCACTGGTAATACAAAAAAATTAAACAACTCAATCGGGTATAGGTATAAAGTCAGAAAATATGCGTAATCGTTCACAATTGACCCGTCAACATTATTTATGCTATCTCCTCGGGCCCGGCTGAGTATACAATGGTATAAATCATCTCGAACATTTTACAATAATCAATGTTCTACTTGTATGCCCCGGCTAAATCGGCTGAAAGAGTGCTTTTAAGAATAAGCATAGTCATGAATTATACTTATAAGTTGTTCATACCACTATAACATGATAAAAAATAAAAAATAATTTCAAATGAATAATTCATTTAGTGGCCAGATACACAATATGATTGTACTTTTTTCAAAAACAAAGGAACATAATAATTATAGATAAAATAAATATTTAAAAAACGATTTAGAAGTTTCGCTTGAACGTACTACGGATTGTAAAAAGTGTATTTAGTTGTAGATTGAACTATTAACCTGTTTCTAGTTACGCATATCTTTAGATTTCATATTTATTTTAAGTTATATTTTGGCGTCATATCATCTGATTCCGAAAATATTTAACTGTTATTTAAAAAGTATAATAAAATTAACGGTAAATTAACTTGTTCTATTTTGACGGCTTATTTAAATGAAAACGCCAAAATTTAATTTAAAATATGGAAAATATAATTATTATTAATATCTGAACGTAATTGTACCTATAGAATAGACAGTTTGTATTTTTATTGAAGTAATAATATATGTGAATATTGTTTTATTTTTCAATTAAGTTATTCAGAACAGAATGCAACAATTTCACAGCAGATGAAAGAAAATTAAATTCCAAACTCGACACAAAATTAACGAACTGTCCATTTCGAAACGAAACAACATCAAAATAAACTATAAATAATGAAATTCCGATCGACCATTCCCATCGAATATAAAAACTGAATATTGTACTTACAGATCATTGAATCATTCAAGCTTTATACAGACTATAAAATAAATATGACTGACTTACCTACATTGATTTTATTATTACATCATTTTTGTTTATCTTAACTGCAAACTTAATAATATTACTCATCGGTTACTTATGGTGGTTTTATTTAATAAATTAATTATCTTATAACGCACAAATATGGCCTATAATGCTTACTGTCGTGACATAAAATTAAAATAAATCTGTTTGGTTGGCGACATTACTGTTAATAAATAGTATAATATTCATTTAGTTATACTTATTTATATTTTAAGGGATGTCAATTGAATTTAAGAAAAGCGCGCGATCGTTTCAATTTTGACCATAGATTCAAAATGGCCGACTTTTTGTCTATGGTCTGTGAAACGTTTGCCGCGCAATGAATTGTGTTTTCGAGATACCCTGCTCCTGTGATGTAATAAATGTTATTGGTTATATTTATTTAAAAATAAAAGTACATTAATATACGGACTAGTTGTTTTATTATTCATCTAATTATTTATAACATTTTATAGTATAGGTAAGGAGAAAATAAGGAAGACAGAAATACATATTTACTACCTACTCGGTAGCAGGTGCGTAACAACCTAAAACTAAATAAATATTTTAATAATTTTAAAATTGAAAAAGGAACAAATACCCTCCCCAAACATATTAGCCTAAAAAACACAGGTATTCTGTGATAGTGTATAGTGCAGTGACAACCTGGACTGTACTAAAAAAAGCTGCTCCTGTAGTCTATTGCTCACATTACATTTTTATTAGTATATTTTATAACTTTGTGTATTCATTACATAATTAATTAATGAATCGATTACCAAGACGTGTGCAATGAGACAAGACAGTTTACTAATAACAAAGATACCGTGATATGATGGTCATGAAATCGATTACTTTATTAATAACATTTTCACCCGCAGTTACGAAACATCTAACTTGAATATCTCTGATCTAGTTTAGTAGTGCATTCAGGTAACCTAGTTCTTGCAATGTTGTGGCTAACCTAAATAATTAAACTGTCAAACACCAAGCGGTCACCGGTGACCGCGACCTATTGTTCTTTAATTGTGTCTATAAAACCGGTACTCGACGAGTTAATAACCTTATATCTAGCACGAACACCAACATATTTCAATGTGGTCGAATATAAATCTTTTATTGCACTCTAAAAAGAAGAACCGATTACCTATAATTTTAGATATTTACATTGGCATTAGGAACACCTGTTTGACAACAAGTATTATACAGACAGATAATACTCTCATCTAGCAATTAATACTGTCAACATTCGTAGCTTGTTAGACACAGTTTACGTCCATTTCCAACTTTATCGCGTTACCAAAACAATAATGAAGATGTACGTAAGTGTGAACCAGCCCTATACCCCGCAAATACATGTAACCCCGCGCACGTATCCATAAATCAGTTATAAAGGCAGCTACAGACAATATAGGGCTAAGGGCACCTCCACACTCGACTGATTTCCCTGGAGACTCGTCGACTGCGCTCCTTTGATGGCCTGTACGTCGTAAGATACCAGACTTTTTAGATATTAACGTCTATATTTAATGAGATTACCTTGATTTATAATATCTGGCTTGATCAAATGTCGAATTGAGATTTTAAATTCAGAACGATTGATCCTTCGTATATTGATGTGAGTTGAAATGGAGGATATAAATTTAATTTTATTCTTGCAGGATAAAGATTATTTTTCTCTGACGTTTACCTAAATGCTCAACTTAACTGGCGTTTAGTAATACTATATTTCCTATCTTGAAAAACCTTAGTCATATGGGAAATAGCGCAGTAAGTGAAACTACCACACTACAAAACTGACCAGTCACTGCTCACGTTCGCTATAAAGCGCTAAATCAACATGAAGTATCATTACAATGTATTGTGTGCATACAATCCTAAATCACTAGATCCTAATATAAATTCCCCATCACATTCTACCATAGTATTTGTATCAGGCTATTGAGTACGCGAGCTGTGGGCCGCGAGCTCGCCAGTCTCGCCACATTGTTCGCATCGAGATCGCTGCGAACATTTTCCTGAACTAATGCCCGATCACGATGCACAACTGTGCGATTGTACGCCGATTGCTTTAGGTTGGCTGTGCACTTACGACTTTAAGTAAAAGTGCGATTTTCTTTGAAAAGGTTAATTTCAGTATTATAAAATCGACAAGACATCCACTCTGCTGAACATTAGTAGATATCATAGTGTCAATAGTTGAGTCATTGGTAGATGTCTATTCATCTACCAATGACTTCCAAATCGGCCGTAGTATATTAAATAAAAACAGCAGTTTACTTTTTGTGTGATTAAGCCGGTGTTTTCAATTAATATGTCTC